TTTCATTATTTTTATTTTATTAAATTTGTTGTTTTCATTTTATTTGTTTATTTTATAATTTTTATATATAAAAGAATATACTCTGGTATCATATTTCACGTTCCCAAAACCATAGTTAAACCATGTAAGCATAGTTTAAAGAAGTGCTGCGTTTTAGACGAGTTTTTGAATGATTTTCCAGCTGTGTTTGTTTCACCATAATTACAGCGTTTGCTTCAGTCACCCTCTTCTGGACATTTTGGGTTTTCATTTTCAGAAATGTTGATGTGAGTGAGATATGTGAGCATATGGAGATTAAGAAATATTATAAGTTACAATCCTATTTACTTTATTAATACACTTATGATTTATTAGTGCATTTAGTTTTGCTGTCAACATCAATCTCTCTTATTTTCCAGAATATAGAGAAGCTTTTTTTAACCATCCAATCAATTTAATCAAAACCCACCTTCCGTTTTGGCTTTGAAGATCATGTTTCAGTCAGAATAATCAGATTATGAATGCAGCAGGTTTATAATCTTTCACCCCAGAGCATCATCTCATCTTCCTCTGGTTTGTATGAAGTGTGTGCAGTGATGCGACTGTTTGCAGACTTCTCCACACGTCTGTGACGCATTACCAATAAATAACATCATCTGCAAAAATTGACTTCTATTGTAAGAGCACTAACTGTAAATATGAGTTATTTCTGAACTGGAAACAGGGGCCTTTACCAGTTTTAATTGTCAAATTATCATTGAAATCTCACTTGTTGTCTATTAATTAAAAAACAGGGACAATACATTTCTGTAACTATTATTACAATAATAACAATAATAATAATAATAATAATAATTATTATTATTATTAACAATTATTATCATGCTGTTGTTATAATTAATGATTGTGATATCTGCATTAAAATTAGTTTTAATAAAATTCACCAAAAACCCTAGGCTAGTAAACCGTAACCATTGCAAATACCAAACAGCAGTATTATATTATAACAAAATTATGACTTTACAAAAACGTGTTTCAGAAATAACACAAAATAAATACGAGAACATATGATAAATACAACTATTTAGCAAATATTTTTAGCATTTTCTAATTGTATATATTATTTTTTAATTTCACAAACTCTGAAAATGACTGTTTCCAGTAATTAACATTTAAAATGTTTTATTTATTTTAATTTGGTTATTTATTTAAAATTTGTTTGTTTATTTATTTATCACATTTAAAAAATATTTTATTTCTTATATTATTTTATGTAATATTTTATTGTATTTTAAATGTTTTTTATTGCATTTTTTTCCAGCTTATTTTGCATTTTTGGGCTGATTTTGTACATTTAGTACATTATGTGCTTTCTGCAAATTGTTATTGCAAAGACTAAATGTTTAATATCATCGGAGTCATGTTTTCTTTTCTTTCGTGTAGTTTTGTTCATGTTTTTTTGAAGATTATGGTGTCATACGACCAGTTCATGTTGAGATCGGTCTAATTTGACTTGCTATACATGGTGTTTTTTGGTTTCATATGGTCAGTTGCAATTTATTATTTGCATTTAGCATGCATTTCCCTGCTGTATGTTGCAGGACAGACCTGTGTGACTGATTTTTGGGTCACGAGCCAGCAGTTTGAGATTGAGATGGCAGAGTTCCCAGCTCTTCTCATAGCTATAAATGTGCCATCTGATCTGTGATATACATCTCTTAAGAATGAGGAGCGTTCTGCATCCTTCCTCTGATTAGCCCGTTCGACCGCAGATGCTTCCTGCAGTCCCGTCTTCCGCCGAGGACACTGGGAGATTTTATTTTCCCTGTGAATGAGCCGCAGTAATTGGCTTTTCTGAGGGAATTCTGTCACTTTGAGAACCAGAGTTTTGTTATGCTTCCCGATTTGATTGAGCATGGAGACGATAGTGATTAAGTAGGAATGTCTTTATTGTGTGGTCGACAAACTAAAATACTAAAAAACAATAAACTAAACTAAAATAAATAACATTAACAAAGTTTTTGTATTTGCATTTAATCTTATTATTTTTTTTAATTTAAATTTTTTATATTTATATAATTTTATTATATTTATTTTTTATATTTATTTTGTCTTAGGCTCAAACTGTTTTTTTCTTCTCCTCTCACACTCAGCTGATGAGCTCATGCTGCTTTGAAATGTTTCAAGCACTAGAAATGAAGCAGTGGAAGACAATAATTGCAGGTTTGTTTCCAGGTCACGTTGACCCAGATACTGAAAAGTGACTAAAACGCTCAAAAACACCAGCGTGTCCTTGAAGATGACATGCAACCCCTGCTTTCTCCAGCAGAACTGGAAGTAAACACCTGTAAAAGTTAAGGCGAGAAGCGTGCCTGCGGTGGCCATGTAAACAGAGAGACGGGGTCGTGGCGGCTTGTTTTTCAGAGAGGATGTTTGTGAGCGATCGTCTGGCGGCCCGTGGGTGGGTTTTCAGGCCAGACGTTCATCTAGGGCGCACTTCTGCATGCTGCGCTCTGAAGATGTCACCTTAAATTTGCCCCACTTACATAAGAGCTTCATCCGGCGAGCATGAAAAACAAGCCACTCTGCAGACTGAGATTATTCAGCATGGCATATTGTCCTGTTCTGAAGAAAGAGGCTGCAGGAATCACTCGTGAGCTCGGGATAGAAAACAGGGCTCTTTATGGACCCCAAATGAGTCGGAGCTTCACATCTGCTGCAGCTGAGGCTCCAGAAGGACACGACAGATGTGTGCGTGTGTGTGTGCATGTGTGTGAATGTGTGAGTGTGTGTTTGTGTGTTTGTGTATTTGTGTGCGTTTGTGTATTTGTGTGCGTTTGTGTGTGTTTGTGTGTCCGTGTGTGTGTGTGTGTGTGTGTGTGTGTGTGTGTGTGTGTGTGTGTGTGCGTGTGCGTGCGCTGAGCTTCAAGACTCGTTTTTGTTTTACTGTGTGCATGCAGTGCAAGTAATGAACTTTTGATACATTTTTTTGTTTGTTAGTAGTACACTGTTTCCCAGTACAAATATCTAAACACTCTTAAATCAGGATGCATTTAATTGAGATGCAAAATAACCTTTATTTCTGAGCAGTTGATCAAAGTTAGGTGAGCTCATGTTTAAAACAAGAAAAAAAATTTGCTAGTGGAGTTGGAAAAATAAACTTGTTTTTCCTTTGAATTAAGTCTATTTTTCTTATCCAGTTGGCGGATTTTATATATTTAATGTTTTTGAAAGAAGTCTCTTATGTTCACCAAGACTACATTTATTTGATCAAAAATACAGTAAAAATTGTGAAATATTATTACAATTTCAAACAGCTGTTTGCTATGTTAATACCTGTTAAAATTAAATTTATTTCTGTGATCAAAGCTGAATTTTCATCATAAATACTCCAGTCTTCAGTCACATGTCACATGATCTTCAGAAATCATTCTAATATGCTGATTTGCTGCTCAAGAAACATTTCTGATTATTATCAATGTTGAAAACAGTTGTGCAAATTACAGGGGCTAAAAAGACTTTAGAAAGCAGGCAGCATCATTATATTATTTTTACACAGAGATCAGTAGCTCTATTAGTAAAATCTGTTGACTTTAGCAATCTTTGTTGCATTATATGCCAAAGGTGACGTTCAAAAACAGGAAAAAAAGACTTTTCTAACTTTTTCCCCCAAAGTTTGCATGCGTGTAACTCGAGAAGTATTAAAGATATATTAATACTCTTTAATAGTTTAGTTCTTAACCAACTTGTCTTTTAGTATCATAATTTTTAAGGCTCTATATGGTTCAGCTCCAGAGATACTGGAATCTCAATATGGCTCCAGGTGTAAATGGTACACATTTTCAGCGGTCAGAAACCAAATGTGGGACACTTTGTATATAGCTGACATTTATTGTATTTAAAGTGAAATGTCTAAAGAATAAATAATGTTGAAACTAGAAATGTAGCTTGTTTCCCTCTCAAACCAATTACATTGGATATATACACTAGCTTTTGAGGATCTTTTGGTCTACTTCACTTTGTCAGGCAGGTCCTAGTTAAGAGATTTCTTGATTGCGAACAGGTGTGGCAGTAATCAGGCCTGGGTGTGGCTAGAGAAATTGAACTCAGGTGTGATAAACCACAGTTTTAACAGGGGGGCAAACACTTTTTCACACAGGCCCATGTAGTTTTGGATTTTGTTTTCCCTTAATAATAAAAACCTTCATTTAAAAACTGCATGTTGTGTTTACTTGTGTTATCTTTGACTAATATTTAAATTTGTTTGATGATCTGAAACATTAAAGTGTGACAAACATGCAAAAAAATAAGAAATCAGGAAGGGGGCCAACACTTTTTCACACCATTGTAAGTGCCTGAGTGCTAAAAAAAATAAAAAAAACACTGAAATAGTCGTTGAACCACATTAACTTGCTCTCTGTAGTCTATACATAAAGTTCTATATTTGAAACAGTTTCAGGGATGTTTGGAAGAAGAGATTTTCCTCTTGAGGCTATAAGCAACAACGTTTGCTACTAGTAGACTATGCTACCATGTCCAAAAACCCCCGATTGCTACGAACTAATCAGATTTGCATGATCAGAATCTGTTGAATCTGAAATGGGAAGACGATTCTTGTGATGTTCTGTCTTTAGTTTAGTGCTGTCAAACGATTAATCGTGATTAATTGCATCCTAAATTAAAGTTTTTGTTTACATAATATGTGTGTACTGTGTATATTTATTATGTAGGCTATATATAAACAAAAACACATACAGTGGGCAATATATTTTGAAAATATTTACATGTATATTTAAATCCATATAATTTATATGATATATAAATGTAATTAATATAAACATAACACATTTTTCTTAAATATATACATGCATGTGTGTGTATTTATATATACATAATAAATATACACAGTACACACACATATATTATGTGAAGAAAAACTTTTATTTTGGATGCGATTAATCGGCACTACTTTAGTTCGAGTCTGATGGTGTGTAATGTGTGTGTTTGTGTTTGATTGACAGCTGCTAGAGGAGTATGGGTACGACTGCCAGCGCTGCTCCCCAGCCCACGCTGCATGAGAGTTTCCACGGCAACGGGATGATGGACAGCAGGCGGTCGACAAGCAGCGCCTCCTTCCAGACACTCAACATCCACAGCAACAAGGCCAAGTCCATCATCACTAATAAAGTGGCTCCTGTGGTCATCACGTACGTCCGGCCGTCTGGCTCTGTTCTGAGAGCGCCTGCAGTCACAGATCATTCGCCTGATTGAGTCTCTGTGTGTGTGTTTGTAGGTATAACTGCAGACAGGAGTTTCAGATCCACGATGATGTTCTCCGCACAAACTATAAAGTTGGGAGGATCTCCGATAATATGCCTGAGCACCATCTGGTCCAGGTGAGCCGGACTCTTGCTCTCATGCACTGTGGGCGAATCTCAGGAAAACGGTGCATTTTTGCAGAACATTAAGTGTATTTTTAGATTTAGTTTTTAGTTATTTGTTATTAGATTTTTTCATGACAATTAAGCACATTTTCCATTCAAATTCTCATTACTGTTACTTAAAATAAAATAATCACTAACTAAAAAAAAAAATATATATATATATAAACACTTTTTAGTGTTCAGCTAGTTGCCAAAGCAACATTTCTCATTTTCATTTAGTTGAACTCACATTATTTTTCATAACTAATGAATTAACGCATTAAGCTGACAGCCCTAATATAGACACATTAAAAAAGCCTAATAAAATGACAAACCACAAAGCAAAAGTACTAAAACTTCAATCAAAAAATTTAATTAAAATGAAACCGAACATATAAAAATAAAAACTAATTGGAAAAAAAACTAAAATAACACAGACTGTGAGATATGAGAATGTTCATTTTGAATTAGCTTTTTTAAATGAAATGAATACATTGAAAAATTTATGAGAGTATAGCAAATGCTGCCACAATGTATAAATTCAGATATTTTTAAGTCACATGAAATAAAAATAAATAATTAAATAATTAATAACCTTACATTAATGGGGTGGGATTATATATTTTATTTTATTTTATTTTGCAGTACAGTAATGAGAATCAGAAAAATCTGCTTAAATACTATGATGAATTTTTTGTACAAAAAAGTACAAAAGTGCAGTACGTACAGTACCATAGTAAATAGTAATCAGTAAATGTCATACCGTAGTACCATAGCACCATATTAAATGCCATATCAAATTTTTGTTTTTGCAGGCTACAACAATATGCAAGCTCTGTTTATTTATGCAGTAAATACCATGGTACATGAATATGATAATCATTATGTGTTGATATATACCATGGTGCCACCACAGTAATGTTTTTGTTCACTCTTAATGTCAGATCTGACCTCATTTGTGACCCTGGACCACAAAACCAGTCATAAGGGTCAATTTTGTGAAATTGCTGAAAGCTTTCCATTGATGTATGGTTTGTTAGGATCGGACAATATTTGGCTGAGATACAACTATTTGAAAATCTGGAATCTGAGGGTGCAAAAAAATCTAAATATTGAGAAAATCATCTTTAAAGCTGTCCAAATGAAGTTCTTAGCAATGCATATTACTAATCAAAAATTAAGTTTTGATATATTTACGGTAGGAGATTTACAAAATATCTTCATGGAACACGATCTTTACTTAATATCCTAATGATTTTTGCCATAAAAGAAAAATCTATAATTTTGACCCATACAATGTATTGTTGGCTATTGCTACAAATATACCCCAGCGACTTAAGACTGCTTTTGTGCTGCAGGGTCACATTTGCTTCATAAGTCACAGTGGATTCCAGTGTATTTGTGTCTAAATGGGAGGACAGAGCCACGGCTCGTAAATGTGTCCCGGCGCATCTCTGTCTCTTCACAAACAGAGCGCAGCGAGTGTGTCATTAATTACCGAGCCGCTGCTCTGCGCTCTTTAGTCTTCGCAGGACGTTTGCACCTTTCTCTGAAGGCTTTGAAGCTCCTCGCCTCCCGCTGGCCACTCGTTCCCTTTGTTTGCTCGTTAGTTTCTGTTTGCTGACGAGCCAATGATGAGTTTCGCTGCAAGTCAACAGATAACACAAAGCGGCCGCTTGTCAAACACTCGCCATTGTTCCGGTGCCTTTCCAGAACATCGCGTTATTTGATGATCTTCTGGAGTTGAATGCTCAGGTTTTCTACATCATAAAGTAGTGATTAGGCGTTTAGCAGATCATTTTATAAAAGCTGGGGCTAATGCTACATGAATGGCATGTCAGAATTTTCATAATTAACATTTTCCAACTGTAAAAATCTTGATGAACCCTTGTTATGAAAGCTTCTTCCTCTTGCCTTTTGTGGCATCATCAGTGCTACTTTAGTATTGCTTATGCACTATTTTATTTTATTTAGTTAATTTTTTTTTTTATTTTTATATTACTGTTTTGGTTTAATTAAATTGTATTTTTTTTAGTGCTAAAACTTTAACCAAAAATGAAAATGAAAACAGAGATTCTAAAAATAAAAAGTAATTTAAATTATGAATAAAAAATAAATAAATCTGTACATTTTGATATGACATTTTGACAATGACCGCTTTTGTTTTATTTTTTACATTACTGTTTAGGTTTAATACATGTTTTTTTATTTCAGTGCTAAAACTTCAATCAAAAAATAAAACGAAAATGGAGATTATTAAACAAAACTAATTAAAATTATGAATAAAAACTAAAAATACTAAATTAACACTGACTTTAAAACGTGAACATTTTAATTTTAATTTCTTTTTAAATTAAATAAATTAAAAGCAGTATAACAAATGCTACCACAGTGTATACATTTAGATATTTATAGGCAAATGAAATAAAAATAAATAATAAACTCGTATAAAAAGACCCAAAATAGCAGCAAATCCAACAGTTAAAGCTAGTTGTGTGCCTCATTTCTGTTTGATGTATTATTTTATCTGCTGCATGGATTTGATTCCTACAGAATTTTTTTGTTAGCTTGAATGCAATGGAAACTGCTTTGGATAAAAGCATCTGCCAAATGCATAAATGTAGAGGTGTGTTAATTTAGTGATTTTACCGGCATCAACAGCAAATCAAATTATTTTGCCATTATGAACGTTGCCATAGAAATTGTGAGTTTATATCTCATAATTCTGAGAAAAGAAGTTAGTATTGTGAGGTATAAACTAAACTAAAAAAAATCAGAATTATGAGATAAAAACTAAAAAATGTCAGAATTGGTAGAGAAAGAAAAAACTCTGAGACATAAACAAAAAAAATCTAAACTGAGATATAAAGTAAAGAAATTCAGAATTTCTAGAAATAGTCAAAACGGAGATATAAAGTAAAGAAATTCAGAATTGATAGAAATAGTCAAAACTGAGATATAAAGAAATTCAGAATTTCTAGAAATAGTCAAAACTGAGATATAAAGTAAAGAAATTCAGAATTGATAGAAATAGACAAAACTAAGATATAAAGAAATTCAGAATTTCTAGAAATAGTCAAAACGGAGATATAATGTAAAGAAATTCAGAATTTCTAGAAATAGTCAAAACTGAGATATAAAGTAAAGAAATTCAGAATTTCTAGAAATAGTCAAAACTGAGATATAAAGTAAAGAAATTCAGAATTTCTAGAAATAGTCAAAACTGAGATATAAAGTAAAGAAATTCAGAATTTCTAGAAATAGTCAAAACTGAGATATAACTAAAGAAATTCAGAATTGCGAAGGGAAAAAAAGCCAGAATTGTGAGATATAAATTTGCAATTGTGAGCGGAAAAAAGAAAATAATTTTTTTGTTTTTTATTCAGTGTCAGAAACTTCTGTCAGTGTCAGACAGGCTTCCATGTCTTTGCAAAACATTTTAATTAGAAGACACAATTGAGTTGGAAGGAAAAGCAGCATTAATTCTGCTTAAAAATACCTTTTTTGAGTGTTTAAAGTGGCGGTAAAGACGGCTGATGATCTGATCGCGCTCTTCTCAGGGCTCTTACTTCATGGTGCAGGATGTTTTCAGCAAAGCGGACGTCCTCAGCACCAGCGGCTCGTACGGAGCGCCCAACTTCCGCCAGAGCAAAGGCAGCTTCCCGCTCTACGGCATGGGCCAGCCCAGCCTGAGTGGCTTCAAACAGGTCCTCCACAGACTGCAGGGTCAAGGCCATCAGGTCAGTGCGTGGAAATCTCCTGCAGCTTCTATCAAGAGAAAGCGATGTGCAAATAATGCTGCTGATAAGGTGTTTGTCACACCTGCGGTGCTGATTAAACTGATGCTTTGAATGAAACTCTGTTGAGTTCGAGCAAATGAGTTTAAATAACCATCATGATTACTGACTTTGTTATGAGTCGAGTTTTATTTGGCCTGATTTACATGCGTTTGCTCTCAAAAGGAGGTGATTTTCTTCTGTTTGCGTGAGGAGCCCGTTGTGTTCCTGCGTTTGGAGGGAGACTTCCTTCCTTACACTCCCCGGAGGAAGGAGAACCTTCATGAGAACCTGCATGATCTCGGACGCGACGCTTGCTCAGAGAATCTAGAGCTCACCATCAGAAAAGAGGTCAGGAGATGAGAATATAGAGGATACGATCAACAGAACAGAAAAAAGTTAATGACACTCCCTTAATTTATTCGGAAACATAAACAAATACAGACAATGAATGCAGGCCTGGATGAACATTTGAACTGAATTAAAATTCATTTTGATATGATATACAGTAACTATCCTGAGATCAGGGAAAAAATGATGAACTATATAATATAATATAATATAATATGTAATTTAGGATTAATAATACTTATATTAATGCATTATTATTATTATTAATATTTAAGCAGTGAGGCATACTTAATAATAATAATAATAATAATAATAATAAATGAAAACAATTCTGATCTCAGGATTAAATATATTTATATGAATTCATTGTATATTAAATACTATTATATTAAAGCAGTGAAATATACTATTTAGTTATAAATAATAAATCATTTAAATGTTTTCTGATCTCATGATTAATTATAATATGATAAAAACTTTTGATAATATTAATATGGAATAGTATAGGCAAGACAACAAAGACATTGTGTTGTTATTGGGTATAAGAACATAAAACAGGACAATTAAATCTAAATTTGTTTAAAAAATATGATATAAACCTTTCATGTTATAATACATGAAAATAGCATAAATAGAACAATTAAATTTCTAAGCACTTTGCACGTTTTTTAAAAATGATTTCCCCATTTTGACCCAAATGTTTATGCTTTCCTGTCATTTTAATTTCACGCTAACATCACAGATGGACCTCCTCTCATGTGCATGTGCTGATCTGAAGTTATTTGTGTTTTCAGCTTCAGGACTTCGCCAAACTCAACGACAACGTGTTCTACGTCTACAACGACATCGAGCATTTTAAAGGAGAACCTCAGAAGATCTCCATCAGCTGTGAGGAAGACATTCACGTCACAGAGGAGGTGTATAAGCGGCCGCGCTTCACCCTGCCCACATACAGGTACACAGAACTGCTTCTTCATTGTTACATGTGGTCTAAACTGGTGTTTCCCAACTACTTAATTATTTTAAATCAGTGCTATTGGTCATTGTCTTGTCCATTTGTGGGTTTTACAAATATTTAACCAATGAAGAGCATTCAATGGAGCATGTGACTAAACCTCGTAATGCCATTGGATCCTCAAATTGTCCGTCAAACCTCATAACTCCACCCCGCTTCATTCAGAATGAAGTGCTACTTCTTCACAATTAAAGGGTTAATAAAGAACTGATGTTTGAATAAGAGCAGCCTTTCCTTTACACAAGAAATGCTGTGTATAAAAGCTAATGTTTTTGTGTTTTTAAAGAGCAGAGAAGAGTCTTAGCATTTGCTGTCTAGTTGTAGCCAATACACTTTTGTACTTTTCAAATATCCTGTGCATCTTTTATATCATGAAATTTTTGGCCAAATGTATTAAACAACGAGAAACTGAACGCCCATATACAGTAGCTACAATAAACTTTATAACCTGCAAACTGATGAAAATGATTAATATACTGTCTCAGATGCGGCCGTTCTTATGACGGACAAAACACCTCGTTAACTCCATTTGAATATGATTTTTAGAAAATGTTAAGTGCAAGTGTCTGATCATATATGTCTTAAGTCGCTGGGGTATATTTGTAGTAAAGTAAAGATCATGTTCCATGAAGATATTTTGTAAATTTCCAACACAGCGGTGATTCGATACTGAATGAATCCACGAATTTAAACGAATCAAGTGAGTCAATGATTCAGTAACCCTTTCATAAAGACAGACGCCTAGATTCTGAATGAATCAGCCGTTTGAATGAATGACTAATGACTCTCGCATTAAAACAGTCATTTACCGCCATCTACTGGTGGTTTAGTTTCATATTTAAAAGTATTGCATTTTCCCCAAAATTTTTAACTTGTATGTTCAAAAATATTTAAAACATTAATCTTATAAAATTGTAAAAGTGTAAATGCATTTATGGCACCTCAGCTTCATCCAACAGTCTGTGTAAATACATCTAATGCCTCTTCATATGCAGCTTCTGTTTCCTCTGCAGTGTAAAGATGGAGTTTGTTGATAGTATGCGCACTCTAATGTGAACACTAAAATTTGCAAAAATATATTACTCCATGCTCACGAAGAGAAGTATGAACACCGATGACAACAGAGTTGCACTGTCCAAGAAGTTTGTGCTATAAATGTGCTTTTTTACTTGAAGCATATATTGTCTTTTCCCTTTATTTTGTTGTCAGAGTGCACCAGAATGCTTCATTTACATGTTAAATCCTCAAAAACTTTCTTCTTTCTTCCACACCCCCCTGCAAGGCTTATATTCAGAACTATGTCACCTTTAACCTCTTGTGAGTTTGCAGGTATGATGTATAAAGCCAAAATACTAACTCTGATGATGCGTTGTTTGTTTAATTATTGAGAGGGAAAAAAAACTTTCCTCCTTTGTACATTTATGTTTTTTTTTTTTAATGCTTGCTGTGCCGTGGGATTTTTTTACTTACCAAAACTGTGCCGCGGCAGAAAAAAGGTTGGGAAAAAGACAGAAAGGCCTACTATAACTCATTGGTTAAGAGAAATATCTTCATGCATTGCAATGGAAAAGATAACCTATATGCTTAAGGGTAAACCAGCTAAATTTAAGAAAATCGGGAGTCCATTTTTATTATTTATTGAATGTAGGGATATTAACAATATAATAGAGGAGCAAAATTATTGATTGGGTATTTAAATATATTTTAATGTGCATTATTTTAACCCCTTACAACTGCGGTTGTTATTGTTTGCAATGGATTATTAAATCTAACTTCCAAAGTACAGACTGTATTAACCCGTATGTTGGTTTTGTGCTTTACAATTTTATGTAATATGAGCCCCTAGTGTTTGTTTGTTTTGTTTTCTGTACATAGTAAGTATTGTTACAGACACGGTATGTACATGTGTCAGTCTTGTAAGTGTTTCAAGAAAATTTAATAAAAATAATATTACAAAAAATAAAGGTTGGGAAACGCTGGTCTAAATGGTTAATAATAATAATATAAATAAAAAGTGTAAATGTGTTTGTGCAGGTATTATCGTCTGCCTCTGCCGACGGATGGAGCGCCGCTGGAGGACCAGTTTGACGCGTTTGTGAACGTTCTCCGGGTAAGAAATTCTCCTGAAAACGCCAGCATGAACTCCATGACCTTTCTGATAATTGCGCTGTGATCTAAATTGATGCATCGGTCAGCTGATATAATGTGAGAGGCATAAACGCATCAGCCGAATAGTTTTCTCGTGATGCTTCACGCCAATTCAGCCGGCAATGTGATTAAAGCCTCTGAAGATGTTTGACGTCTTTGAGACGGTGGAATCTAAACACGTCAGATGCTTTAAAGCGCGTCGGAGCTGTAATATTTAACGTGTTTAGATAGAAGGAAATGAGTTAATGGAATATTCTGGAGTCTGTAGATCATCAGACGGACTGAAGACAAACGCTCTCATTCAGTTACAAAACAAGAGCAGCATCCAAACCCAAACAAAACCTCATTGTTTTCTCTTTCTCTGCACAGCGATTATAGAAATGTATAATGTATACTCTAATCATTTTTTGCAGTGTAGTTTGAGTTTTGCTTAAAACAAGAAACTGAGTTTTATTTTAGGGTCCGTTACACGTTGCATGTACTTACTGTAGTAATAACAAAAAATATGCATAATTACATGTAACTAACCCTATCCTAAGTACATGTTGTTAATTAATTACTCGGTACTTAAAGGCACAATATGTAAGTTTTCGCTGCTAGAGGGCGCGTATTCAAAACAAACAAAGCAAAATATATAACACTGTTCTAGTGGTTTTTGGATATTTTAATTAAAAAATATCTATTTATATCTTTAAATATATTTACACTGTAACAGTGATACCAATAACAATGAGTGTAACCAAAAATTAAAACTCAATATTATTCTATATGCAATTATTGCATAGCCTATATTTGCTCAATCCAAGAAAAAATATTAGTCAAGCTTTACTATAAGGTCCCATTAGTTAATGGATTAACTAGCATTGGGCAATACATTTGTTTTATTAATCTTAGTTAATAAAAATACAACTGTTCATTGAATATGCATTTATTATTATTTTATTATTATTGTTAAAACAGTGAATTATACCACTTAACAACAACAAAAGCAACAATCATAACAATAATAATAATTACAATACAAAAATGTAAAAAAAAAAGTTTTCTGATCATAGGATTGTATTATATATATATGAATATGAAATTATTATTATATAATTAATTAATTAATTATAGTAATTATTATTAAAGCAGTGAATTATAATATTTAATAATAATAATAAACAAACTGTTTAAAAACAAATTTACTATGCATTGATTATGTATAGTAATAATAATAATAATACAGCCTTTTTTATTTATTTATTTTTCTACAGGTAGATCTGTCAGTCTATCACTAGTTTTACCATGGTAAAGTGTGTCAGTGTGGTGTTTTTGTCTATTCAGAGCTCAGTTTGTGTGTTTGCATCAGTCATGTGCCCGATGAATGAGACTTCCTTCGCATGTCTTGTGTTTCCTGTTTCTCGGGTTTAAGAGGACAGAAGCTGAAGCCACAGATTTGTCGAGTTTAAGATTAGAAAGTAAACCACAGGCTGACTGCGCAGAAATGAGTCCATCTCTGATAAAAGCTTCATATTCTGTGTGATATGATGCATTCTGCTCATGCAAATCCCCAGAATGCTTTTAAAGGGGTCATAGGATGCCCATTTTCCACAAGTTGATATGATTCTTTAGGGTCTTAATGAAAAGTCTGTAACATAGTTTGGTTAAAATTTCTCAATGGTAGTGTAAAAAAACACCTTTTTTACCCTGTCAAAAACAGCTCTTTTCAGAGCATGCAGATTTGTAGCATTTTCCTTTAAATGTTAATGAGCTCTGCTGACTCCGCCCCTCTCTTCCGAGCGAGACTTTACTTTAGCTGCATTCATCGTGAAACTTGCTAATTAGCACATTATTAGGAAAGGTGATTTGCAAAGATTTGTTAAAAAAACCTTACACTCACTTCTTCTGTAGATGAGGCTGGCTCACGAATGATTCGCGCGAACATAGATGCATTCTGTGTGACGTCACACAGACAGGCATCTGAGATCGGCTCGATTTGAGAAAGGGGTAAAGATTTTAGCAGATTAACAATAAAACACTGGGTGGATTTTTATCATTATAGGGTGGTTGTGTACACACACTGCCAACACACATTTCAGTTCAAACAACTTGTAAAAGTGCATGTAGCATCCTATGACCCCTTTAAAACAAGCTGTTTTGTTGCATATGTCGGCAGTGCATGGGCGGCGAGAAATCATTTGTCTATTTAAAGCGTCCTGACAAACTGCAGGACTCGAGCTGTTATTTTAGCCCTGCCAATAGAACGATACACAGGAAGCAGCTTTTATAAAAGAAAGAGGCCACTTCCTGTCTCGCTCCAGGGCTGCTAACACGCCTCACGCAGCGAGCAGATCCCCAGAAGAGACCGGATCTCATTTAATCACTTCACTGTAGATTGAAATTAATTTGCACATTTCTAAACCGAAACAGAGACTCATTATTTATAGCATTTCCAGTGTGCAGGAATGGACAGTATAGATATAAATAAAGCAAATAAAGAGGAAAATGAAAGAATATTAGTGTTCGTTGTAATTTTTATTTTTAATCAAACATATTTAAGGTTTTGTTTAAAATAAAACCAAAAGTTTTATTTCAGGTAAATAAGCTAAATTAAGGATTCCCAAACTTTTCTTGTCTGCCAAACCCCGTTGAGGTAAAATATTTATTTTTAAGATTTTAAGTTAATATAAAACATTTACAATTATCTGAAGGTTGTTAATGGACACATGACATGCATGTAAACACATTCAATTATTTCATATTATTTTATATAAAATAATTTGTATATATTTTTAAAATGCATTTTATATTTTATATATTTAAATTTTTTTAAATAATTTTTTATAAAAAACATATTCATTTTAATTTGGGTCAAGTATCATTGAGATACTTTTATACTTTTTTTTTTATATTTTGAATTTGAGTTTTATTTTTGTAATTTAATTTTAATTTTAGTTAAAGTTTTAGTTATTTTGTTTTGTGTTGGTCATTTTTATTAGTTATTGTTTTAGGTCTATATAGTTTTTATTTTAGTACATCAAGTTAAACTATGAAAATGATAAATGTTTCTTTGTCAACTGGCTGAAATAAAATACATGTTATAGATAGTTAGGGCAAAATACATTACCAAAAATGAAGTAGTCAGACATTCGTCAGTCATAAATACTGACATTAACATACAGGGAAAATATGTAACGAATGCTTCGCAGATACAGATTGGGTAAATAATGTTTTGTTTTGATTAAAAGATTAACATTAACATTAACCGGCTGCATATCATGTTGTTTATTACTTATCAGAGCTGATGAAACCAGAGATTTGCACTAAATAAAACCAAATAATCCACATAAAATGAAATCAACAGATGCTAGAAGTATTCGATGAAGCCCAATATGCATGTTTACTCTAACTGTATAGAGATTTTCATGAAGAAAATTAACGAATATCCTGCTAATTTGTTCTGACTTTGAAGCATAGTCTACTGCCACATAAAACTAAAAATATGAGCTGCTGTGAAAACTGCTCAAAACAAACACAGCTAGTTTTATCCAGACAGCGGATATAATAATAATATAATAATAATAATAATAATCCGATAATATGCGGATGTCATTCCTGAAACTTTGCAGCGTGTATGTGGCCGAAAAATAAAAGTTCTATACAAATAATTATTCGCGATTCTTTCTCGAGTCGATTTTGATCCACGAATCGATTCTGCATCGGTTTATCGTCGCAGCCCTGATAGATAGATAGATAGATAGATGGATGATGGATAGATGGATGGATAGATAGATAGATAGATAGATGATGGATAGATAGATAGATAGATAGATAGATAGATAGTTTTAGTTAAGTATGATCTCCCTGATTTCTTTTACGTTTTTTTTTTATTTTGCATTTTTATGATTTTATGAACCCTTATATTTCCCTCATGAATCCCTAGGGTGGGAAACCCTTAGTTGATTGGTGTTAGATTTAATTGATTTCATTATTAAAAGAAAACTTTGCAAACAGTTTCCTGAGATGTTTATTCCAGTGGATCAGAGCTGTATGTGCATCGCTGGAAATGTGACGCTCAGATGAACGGACTGAATGCTCTCGACTCACTCTTCATTCACTCTCTCTTGTTCTGTCAGGAGAATCCATCTCTGTCCTCGAGTCGTGACGCGTCGCGGCCTCTTCCGGCTCTGCTGTTTAGCTGTCAGGTCGGCGTCGGCCGAACCAATCTGGGAATGATCCTGGGATCTCTGGTGATGATGCACCTCACGCGGGCGGCACAGGAGCCGACAGCACCGTAAGACCCCAACACATCACATGATCACACTAGCACTCAGAATGTTAGGGGGTCGGTAAGATGTTTTTGTTTTTGAAAGATTCTCTTAAAAAACAAAGACTCTCTGCTCATCAAGGCTGCATTTATTTGATCAAAAATACAGTAAAATTGTGAAATAATATTGCAATTTGAAATAGCTGTTTTCTGTGTGAGTATCTGTTAAACTGTAATTTATTCCTGTGATCAAAGCTGAATTTTCAGCATCATTACTCCAGTCTTCAGTGTCACATGATCTTCAGAAATCATTCTAATATGCTGATTTGCTGCTCAATAAACATTTCTGATTATTATCAATGTTGAAAACAGTTGTGCTGCACAAAATTTTTGTGGAAACCGTGATGCATTTTATTTTTTAGGATTCACAGACGAATAGAAAGTTCAAAAGAACAGCATTTATTTGAAATAGAATCTTTTGTAACATTATAAATGTCTTTACTGACACTTTTGATTAGATTAATGCATCCTTGATGAATAAAAGTAATAATTTATTTTTAAAAAATCTTACTGACCAGAAACTTTTTGTATATTCATTCACATTTTTTTGCATGCTTAAGAATGTTTAATAAAGATGTGTATTTGTGTATATTATGTGCATTTACATTTAGTCATTTAGCAGACGCTTTTACCCAAAGCGACTTACAAATGATGACAGTAGAAGCAATCAAAACTAACAAAAGAGCAATAATAAGCAAGTGCTATGACAAGTCTCGGTTAGCCTGAATAACGCAGTACACAGCAAGGTTTTTTTTTTATATACAGTTAAAGTGTAATTTTGCATTTAATGTGAATGTTGTCACATGTTTATAGAGCTGAAGAGGATGCAACAGACAAACCTAAAATGCAGTTCCAGGTTATTCAGACCCTCATCAGGAAGCTTCCTAAAGGTCAAGAGGTCATGGAAGAGGTTTGTATTTGAATGTGTTCAATCTAATATTTGTATGTAAACACTGAGAGATCCCAGATGAGCTGTTGACCGCGTCCTGCTGTGTTTCAGGTGGACCGAGCCATCGATCTGTGCTCTGAGATGCACGACATCCGAGAGGCCATTTATGAAAACAAACAAAAGCTGGAGGGAATCGGTGAAGACTATCAGATCCAGGTGGGCATCTGCTTATGATATTAGTCAAGGTGAATGTGTTTCATTTTTCACTGTCGCTAGAATTAAATAAGCAGTTTTTTGCTGCTTTTTACACGACTGGTCAGAGTTTTTAATTTTGTTTATTTTAAAATATATATTTTTTTCATGTTTTAGAATGATTTCTGAAGATCATGTGACACTGAAGACTGTAGTAATGATGCTGAAAATTCAGCTTTGATCACAGAAATAAATTACAGTTTAACAGATACTCACATACAAAACAGCTATTTTGAATGTTAAAAATATTTCACAATTTTTATTATGTTTGATCAAATAAATGCAGCCTTGGTGAGCAGAAACATTCCATCTTAATTATTCTAAATGGATAATGGAGGCTGACGAAGACGTTTTGAGCTCTGCTTTATCTGAAAGATGGATTTCTCATAATACGAGCCCCGAATCTGAAGACTAGCAGTGTTTAAAGCGCTTCATAACTCTGTCAGGCTTCATTACACAGACTGGACAGATGAGTGTGTGTAAGACGTTTGAGACTCTTTATGCATCACTGAGCTGCTTCTGTCCGTCTCCAGTTATTCTTCTTCTCTGGACAAACTGAAATCTTATTCTATCTAGTTTTGCTTGTGGATCACTTGTGTGCAGAACCAGATTTACGGCCCACAGCTGGACAGATTGTAAATAAAGTGTATTTTCTGTTGTCTCTGTGTGTGTGTGTGTGTGTTTTCAGGGAAGCAGCACTAAAGATTACTTCCTCCATCGAACTCTACAGAGTCTAGAGCGATATTTCTACCTGATCGTCTTTAATGCTTACCTGCATGAACAGGTACAGTGTGTTTTCAAGCCACTCTTTTAAGAGTCACTATTCATTTGCTAGTCATATTTATTGTTGTTCCTCTCTGTTCTAGTATCCGCTGGCGTTCGCCTGTAGTTTCAGCCAATGGCTGTGCTCTCACGCCTGGATGTACCGCCTCCTCTCCTGCATGAACCAATCAGAGCTCAGAGCACCAGCTGACCTGCTCACGAAAGGAGCTCGAGTTCTGGTGAGAAACATCAACATCATTACCCATCTGACATTGCTTGGAATATATTAAGGACACCAATTATCATTACAACATTTTAAGCAAAATCATCCTTTGATTAGAAGATTTAGTTCAAGAGAAATGGAATATTACAATTGATGCAACATTCCAAATTCTGTTACATTCACAGTGATACAAAGTTTCAAATTAACTGAATTTAAACGGAACAAACAGCACTGTCAACTCAAAATGAAACGAAGTATCAAAATGGAAAAAGTATAAAACTATCATAAACGTTTTACAACTCCAGTCTAACTCGTGTGCTATATTTCAAATCTTCTGAAGTCACAGACTACATTTACCTGCACATCAGATTTCATTTAAGCTTGGTATAATCAAGTAGTTTATATGATGTTTATATGCATACAGGCATCAGAATATTCCTTGACTAGATTAGTAGATTATGGCGATCTACACATGTATGTTTCCTTTCACAGTGTTATGTCTTGGTAGATTTAAAATGCTGTTGTTTGCTCGGTTATTACATTTATTACTACGTTTCACAATAATTTAATTAGGACTAATATTATCACATTCAAAAATGCCAGACAACAATGGCAGAAAATGGAAAGAATCAGGCCATTATTGTTGTTGTTGTTGTTGTTATTGTTGTTGTTGTTATTAACAACAACAACAATAATAATAATAAATACACTTTAGATATAAAATAATGCTTATTAAATTAATAATATTTGTATTAATATTATTTAAAAAATAGAAACATCTGCCTATTCCAAATTTCACTGTATTTTTTTGTCTGCAGAACAAATTGATTAAAACATTTTAACTTGCAAGGTAAATAATTAAGAAACTTCAATGCATTTCTGGAGTAACAGCAAAACAGATTTAAAAAAAAAAGTAAATTATTAAAATACATTTATATTCACTTATTATTATTATTATTATTATTATTATTATTATTATGATTAATAATAATAATGATTTTTTCCCCCGTTTTGTGCTGTTGTTGTCAGGTATTCTTGAAAGTGTGAAGTGTCATTCTTAATTAAATTAAGAAAACTAGTAATAAAACTAATAACTGAGCATAATGTTTGGCAGCATCATAATCCTCTTGATAAATAACACTGGGAACGGAAATGCACATGTGTAGATCGCCATGCTAAAATCAACCATGCATGCAGGAATATTCTGATGCCTGTACACATATAAACATTCTATGGTTGCAACCCTAATATAAAGCTTAAACAGAATTTGTTGTGCATGTAAACAAAGTCAGAGTCAGTGAATAATCATTACTGAAATAGCACTTTTGGTCTGCTCCTCACACATACTGACCTGAATATACTTTTCCTGACAGCCTAGTCTTCATTCACTTGCATTATTTTGTAAAGAGCAGAATGAAGAAATCTTGATGATCTCAACAGATGCTCTACTTTCTCTCCTGATTGTGGAAGTGTTTCACTATTGAGATTAATGTAGATTTGCGCTGCACTTTCTCACTTAGCAACAGTATCTAAGGAAAGTGTGACTGTTGTAAAAGTGTGATGCTGTGGCTTGGCTTTTCTTTCTAAGCAGCAGCCTTGAACAATTTCTTTAGTGCTGAATTGACTGAACTGAGGAAGTCGAACTACAAATGTCTTAAGTGGCATTCTTTTACAAACAGGCTTCAATACAGACCTTGATCGTATAAAATAACTTTGATGGGTGTTTTAATAGACTGTGAGTGTTTCAACTCCTCTAGGACTCTTTTTGTAAATTCTATTGATTCATGTGAAATTATTTTTAATGCAAAATTTCGATTTATAATTTTTTATTCTCATATTTTGCTATATTTTACCCTGTTTTTTTATTTTTTGCCGAAATAGCCATGATTGCTTGCTAGTACAACAAATCAAATTATTGTTTATTTTCAACAAATTATTTTCTGGAGGGGCTTTACTTTCAAAAAATGTTATGTGTCCACCTCAGATATCTAATAACTAAAAAATGTTTTTACTTTATTTATTTTTTGAGGTTTGCAATTGTTCCTACAGTTTGAGATGTTTTGAATACTGTTTAAAACCCTTTTAACTTCATTTTTCTTTATATTACTTTATTAACAGGGTTGAATGTTCATGCTCGACAAATGGAGCCAATATAATTGTGCAAAAATGTCAATTATAATAATTATATATATATATATATATATATATGTATATGTGTGTGTGTGTGTGCATTATATATATAATTATTATTGTTATTATTATTATTATGGAAAGGAGCTAAACTACAAAAATCAAATATAATAATAACAACAACAACCATTTTTATTTTATTTAGTTTTTTTTATTTTATTTATCTATTTATTTATTTTAATAGCTCTTTTCTAAAACCCAAGGTTGTTTTACAAAGTTAGAAAAAAATCTAAAAATAATAATAAAAATAACCTATCGTAACAATAATCCAAAATTAATCATTTGTACCCTCTTCGTAGTCTCTGAATATTAAACTGGGGAATTATTTTGACAGCAGTTACACATTATCTTAAGATGACACATTTCTCTGTAAACCTTGACTAAACCAATAAGGATGATGGATTGTTTCTGAAGAGGTGTGTTGTATTTCTAGGTTGCAGATGAATATTTAGCACCTGACGTTCTGAGCACCATTAAGCAGATGAAAGTGGCTAATTTCAGACGAGTGCCCAAAATGTCAATCTATGGGATGGCACAGCCGACATCTGAGGTAACTCTTCCCAAAAGCCCCTTCAGACTGACTTTGTTAATTGTTAATGCTCACCGACAGCATCGCTCATGTTTCAGGCGACGGGAGCCGTTCTGGAGTATCTGACGGATGAGAAGAGGAAACACAGCAGTGTATTGTGGGTAAATTTGCAGGATGAGCTGGTTCTGGAGGCCAACGGCCAGATCTTCTGTCCCAGAGAGCCCACGCGTGTGGACCAGCACATATGTGTGCTCTCCTCACAGACGCACCAGATCGAGATCGAGGTCAGAGTCTGCTTTTGCTTGTTGTTATATGTGACCCGTGCTGGCAAAATGAGTGTGAATGCACACGGGCTAGTTTTCAGCTACAGGCAAAAAAGTGAAAAATGTCGATTTTTGAAGTTTTCACAAAAATGAGTTCATTGAACCCTCATCTAGCGATCCCAATGCTCTAAATAGCAATTAAACATCTAAAAGTATCTTTATTTTTACGTTTTCTGAGAGGAGTACCCTTTCTCTGTTAGCTTCTTGCGCTGCCACTCATCCGAAGCGCACACATAAAGCGCTCTATCCAGGGGCGTAGTTTGTGGGGGGGATAGGGGGGAAATAACCTTTTATAAGCGCTAACTTCACGTATGAACTGAACGGAGCAGTTTATCAGCACAATATGACTGAAGCACAGTTCTTGAGCATCGCACGAATCACTGTATACTCCACACGCGTTCACCAGTGCACTCGAAGTGTGATGAGATTTGCGTGAGCAAATTCTTTTTTTTTATTCATATATAATTATTTATTAGCTTTTCATCAGTTTGTTAACCCTTGCTCTACACATTGAACAGCATCTGTATCTCTGTGTGTGCGTGTGTGTGTGTGTGCGTGCTTGTGCGTGTGTGTGAGAGAGTGTGTGTGTGTGTGTGTGTGCGAGTGTGTATGTGTGTGTACATGTGTGTGCGTGCGTGTGCACGTGTGTGCGTGTGTGTGTGTGCGCGTGTGTGTGCGTGCGTGTGCGTGAGAGAGTGTGTACACGTGTGTGTGTGTGTGTGACATAGAGGCTGGAAACAGCTCTGAAAGAGGAAGTTGTGGGAAGTCAGAAATGGATTGAAGTGACTCTGGAGCAGGAGAAGCAGATGAAGATGTTCAAGAGCTGTTTGACGGTGCAGGAGATCTTTAACCAGCACAAGAGTTCACACCAGGGACTGCAGTACAGACGGATACCCTTCCCAGAATGCTCTTCTCCGACTGAAGAGGTGAAATGCGCTTTAACAGACCTGTAAAAGATCTTCCCGTTGAGATGCAATGATGAAGGCTAATGACAAGACAAAGAAAAGACCTTCTGCTCCCTCTAGTGTTCTTCAGAGTCACTGTTAGTTTCGATTTTACAGAAATATTTCACCCAGAAATTCTATTCTATTCTATTCTTTTTATTTTATTTTTGACCCAGAAATATGTGATTAACTAACCCTCAGGTTATTTTATTTTATTTATTTTAGGTTTGTTTATTTTATTTTATTTTTTATTTTAATTTAGTATTTATATAAAAAAAATATATTTATTTTAATATTATTCTGTTATTATTATTGTTATTATTATTTTATTAATTTTTTTTATTTTACTTTAGTTTTTTTTAAAGAAACCATGATTATCAAGCTCCAAAATGGACAAAAAAAAAGCACCTTCAAGTAGTCTGTATCACACATGCAAAGTCTTCTGAAGGCAATCAATAAAGATTCAAATGTGATTAAATAAGATAAAATTAATAAGATGTAGATAAAAAAAAGCATGGCACCTTGACTTCAATGGTTCTCGTGTGTCTCATAAAAAGCAAACCCAAAAAGCTCCAAATTTCTCTCTTTGTGTTCAAGTCGTAAAGAATGGCATGATCGTGGTTAAATAGGACAGCAGTGTCATTTATGGGTAAACTATCGCTGAAATAGACTTCAGAATGTAAACCTGGTTTTATTGGGTTCAGTCTGACAGTTTCATTATCTTTCTTTTGTGTGCTTTATAGAGTCGTATGAATGTGTTTGTGAAAGTGATTTATCAGTCTTTCATTCGGTCACATTGATAATGTGTTTGTGTCTCTCTCTCTCTCTCTGTGTGTGTGTATTAGAATTATCAACAGTTGTGCTGCCAAATATTTTTTTGGAAAGTGCGATTCTTTTTTCAGGATTCTTCGATTAATAAAAAGTTAAAAGAACAGCATTTATTCAAAATATAAATATTTTCTAACAATATAAATCTTTGCTATC